CAAGGAGCACCTGTGGAAGCTGGTCCACGAGGGGGGCGCCCACATCTACGTCTGCGGGTGAGTCGGGGGCGAGTGGGGTGAGGCCCCGCCGGCCTGCGGGCCGCAGCCCAGCCCCAGCGCCCCTCCTTCCCGTTCCAGGGATGCTCGGAACATGGCCAGGGACGTGCAGAACACCTTCTGCGACATCGTGGCTGAGCTTGGCGCCATGGAACATGCCCAAGCCGTGGACTACGTCAAGAAGCTGATGACCAAGGGCCGCTACTCGCTGGATGTGTGGAGCTAGGACTGCCCGGCCCCGGCCCGGCCCCACGCCCCCCAGCCTCGCGGCCCCGTGTAATCGCTCTCCTCACTCCCTTCTGCCCGCGTCCTGGGCTGCGCAGGCCCCGCGGCAGAGACTCCTCCGGGCCTGGGTGTACCCTGAGCCCCCGGCCAGCCCAGGTCCGCCGGCCCCCGGAGCCCAGCCCCAGGGCCCGCACTTTGGGGTGCCTCAGGCCCTCGGGGGCCGAACAGAAGGGGCGCTTTCTCTGCTGAGCTGGGCCTGGCCCCTCCATGTGATTTTCAATGAGTGTAAATAATTTTAAATAACCTCTGGCCCTTGGAATAAAATGCTGTTTTCTGTATTTGCCTGGTAGTGCTTGAGCAGATCCAGGGCTTCCAGGCAGCCTAGATCTGTTTAACGTGGGCCCCAAGGAGGCCAGCAGCCCAGAACCCCAGGAGCCTGCACCTTCGTGGAAGACCCCAAGCCCGAGTGCCACCAAGCCCTGCCTCCCCCTCTGGAGAACACACATCTCAAGCCGCCTCTGTCTCTCTTCCTTTATTGACGCCTCTGAGCCCAGCTCCTTGCGGGCTGGGACACAGACCCAGGTCTTCTTTCAGGGCCCACAGAGCCCACAAAACCCAGAGAGCAGAAGAGACCCCCCCACAAGCACCCGTGAGGGGCGCCTCCGGTCCACTCCCGCGACACACAGGAGGCAGAAGCCCCTTTGGGGCCGGCAGCGCAAGGCCCAGCCTCATTCTTTCTTGCTCCCATGCCGCTGGCTGTGGAATTTCTGGTGCACGACCCGCAGGGTGGTGAAGAAATTGCCGAGGAAGAGGAGGAGGAAGGGGAAGCCACACATGAGCACCTGCGGAAGGAAGCGCCTGGGTGAAGGTGGGGCGGGGGCAGGGCCGGGCCGGGCCCTCCCAGCCATCCCCCCCCCGGGACCCCGGCTCCCCTGCCACTCCTTGCACTGAGGGTCCCGGGCCAGGCTGAACAGCGTCAGCGCGTTAAAAAGCTGCCAGAACTGAGGGGGAGCGAGACTTTCACTCGGTAAGCCCAGCCCCTGCTGAAACCGAGGCCAGCGAAGGGGCCGGACAGGCGGACGGACAGGAACACAAAGGCACCACTTACGTGTCCAAAAAAGAGAAAAGGCAGCAGGAAGGTGAGGCCCCGCCACATCCAGGACTGGAAGCCCTCTGCAGGGAGGAGGGTCCGGCACGGAGAGACCAGGACAGACACGGACACCGTCACTCGGACCTGGACGGGCGCAGAGGGGAACTGCCGCCTCCCCAGCCCAGTCCCGAGCGGCCGAGCCCAACTCACCCACAGTGAGGTCCATGGTGTGCCTCTCCCCCAAAGCCCGCAGGCGGTAGAGGCAGCCGCTCTGGTAGTAATACTGCAGGAACTGCACGAAGCCTGCACGTGGCATGGGAACTGGGGGCTGCAGTCCGACCGCCTTCCCTGCCCGCCCCCCGCCACGGCCCGCGGGGCCGAGAAGCCACCGAGACACTCACTCTGGTACATGGAGAAGGACAGGAATTGGTTCCGGAACTTCTGGTACATGAGACCGTCGGGCCTGAGGTAGCAAGCAGAGCGGGGCATGGCGGCCCTGGGGGCCCCTCCCTTCTCCGCCCGGCCCGGCCCCGCCCGCCGAGGCCCAGGCCCTCACCAGGTCAGCATGACTCCCGACAGGAACGTGGACACGTAGTGGTGGAAAACCCACCAGCCTTTGATCCTGTGTCGGGGAGCCCTTGTCAGTCCCGTCCCTCGCGGCATCGGTGCTCAGGGATGGGGGAGGCCCGACGCAGGAAGCAGCCAGTGGCCCCTGGTTCCCAGAGGGGCATGGGACCCCTCCAAGGGCTCGGCCCACCGCCCGCTGCCCGGCCGCGCGAGGCCCCGCCCTGCCCACCGGGAGCCGTTGTTGATGAGGATGCTCTCACGGATGGTCAGGGTGCAGTAATACCAGACCAGCAGGAAGTTGAAGGCAGCATCTGTCACCCTGGGGAGGGAGGGTTGCCGTGGGTGGGTGCCCGGGGCCCCGGGGGCAGGGCCAGCCCCGGCAGCAGCCAGCCCACCTGGAGTTGAGCAGGAAGCGGCAGGTGAAGGAGATGAGGATGAGGATGATGGTGAGGTAGAGCTTGAACTTCTCATACTCGTCTTTGTAGGCAAACCTGGCGGGGGCACGGGCTCAGGAGGGCCGGGATGCCATTGGCGCCCGTGCCCCTGCCCCGGGAGAGCAGCTCCTGAGCCCCAAGGCTGAGCCCAGGGAAGGCGGGCACTCAGGAGGGAGAGCAGGGCGGAGACCCGGCCGACCACAAATTACTTGGCCTGCTTGCTTAGGAGTGTCACGTTGACGTTCCCCAGAACCAGGCTCAGGTACAGCCTAGAGGGGAGGAAGGAGGGTGAGAAGAGGCCCCGGGGGACAGGAAGCCACACGGCACAGGCTGGGCCTGCTGGGCAGAGCCGGGCCGCCACCCGCCCTGGCCCGCCCTCCCGTGGCGTGGGTGGAGGCTTCTGGCCGTGCTGCTGCAGACCGCCGGCAGCGATGCCCAGCCGTCCTCCCTGCCTGCTCCGGAATCGGACCCGGGATAGCCCACGCGCCCTGCCTCCCCCTCGGGGCCCCCTCAGAGCCACCCCACATCCGAGGGCTCCAAGGCCTGGGCTGGACTCAGCCTTCGTGCAGACGGCCAGAAGCCGTCAGTTCCTTGCCTCCTCGCTCCAGAACCTTCGGTCCTGAGCCCATTCAGCAGCCGATACCGAGCTCGGCCACCCCTGGGACCCGACCTCCAGGGCCGAGCCTCCCCGCCTGTATCCTCCCGTCTCCTCTCACAGAGGCCCTCCTCCCCAGTCCCAGTCGCCTTTCCAAGCCCGCTGAGTCCCCGGCCACCTTCAGCTTCCACCGCTTTCGGGCCAACCCCAACCCCCAACCTCCATCCCCGCAGCGGGGCTGTCTTGGCCTTCTCTGCCAGGACACTCCAGGAGTGACAGCAAAGTCACGGCCACTTAGCAGCTGCCCCCAACACATGGGCTCTTGTTCACACTCAAGCCACACAGAGGCTCAGCGTGGTTAAGGGACTTGCCCAAGGCTGCAGAGAGATTCCAGGGCGGGAGGGGACACCAGCTCAGACCAGTGAGTGCTCCCCACACAGGCTCAGCTCCCGCCCGACAGCCAGCCCACCAGGCTGCGGATGCGTCCCCCTCAGCCCCCGTCCCGTCCCGTCCCCAGCAGTGGCCTCTTCGCGTCTCCCAAACCCTCCGCCTGTCTCCTTCCGCCCCGACCCACCTGCCGTGTCAGAGAAAACAGCCC